GCATTGGTATCCTTGGCGCGGGCCATCCACTGAAGGGATGCGTGGTCCGTGACCAGGGTGAACTACCGGCCAAGAAGGTAGTAGCGCAGCTCCAGGACTGCCCACTTGACGGCCAGGGCCTCTTTTTCCACTGCGGCATAGTTCCTCTCGGCCGGGATCAGCTTCCTGCTGATATAAATGACAGGATGCTGGGGATGAAGCAGCGATAATACCTCGCCAACCCTAAAAAGGCTCGTACCTGGGTCTTGGTTTTGGGTCTCGGAGCGGAGCGTACCGCCTCCACCTTCTTCTCCTGTGGCCGAATGAGACCCCGTCCCACCTGGAACCCCAGGTACTTCACCTCGGAGAGGGCAAGGTGGCATTTCCGAGGGTTGGCGGTGAGTCCCGCCCTCCAGAGCTCCGAGAGCACCCTCCGCAACTGGTCCAGGTGGTCTTCCCATGCCTCGGAGTGGATTACGACGTCGTCCAGGTAGGCGGTGGCGTAGGCCTGATGGGGTCGCAACAGGATGTCCATCATCCGCTGGAACGTGGCGGGTGCCCCATGGAGGCCGAAGGGAAGGGTCCGTTACTGCCAGTGGCCACTAGAGGTAGAGAAAGCAGTCTTAGGTTTAGCATCCTCAGAGAGGGGTACCTGCCAGTAGCCTTTGGTGAGGTCCAACGTTGAGATATACCGGGCCCTTCCCAGCCGGTCCAACAGCTCAACCACCCGAGGCATGGGGTATCCGTCGAACTCAGATACCTCGTTGAGGCGGCGGAAGTCATTGCAGAAGCGGAGGGTGCCGTCCGGTTTCGGGACCATCACGATTGGGCTGGACCACGGGCTGCGTGATGGTTCTATCACCCCCAACTTCAGCATTTGTTGGATCTCTTTCTCTATAGTTCGACGACGAGCCTCAGGGACGCGGTAGGGCCGTTGCCTGACGACGACCCCCGGCGGTGTCCGGATGTCGTGCCGCAGGATTCTGGTCTGCCCGGGACGAGAGGAGAACACATCGGCGAACTGACCGACCAGGTGCTGCAGCTCCCTCTTCTGGGCAGCCGAGAGGTGGGGGTTGACGTCAACAACCACGGGGTCAGAGACGGCGAGGGCTGCGAGTGGGTTCCTCATCCCAACTGCCTGTCGGTGAGACCGGGGAAGGACTCGGAGGAGACGGTCTATCACAATGCGCTCCGCCACCTGACCAGCCGATGGAGCCCCCTCCAGCAGCCAGTGCTGCGTGAGTTGCGTGAGTTTGGCGGCCTGGGCACGGGCCGGCAGACGGGGCTTATATTCCCACTCGTGGAAGTGCTGGGCGGCACAGATAGGGGATAACCCCAGGCGGTCTAGAATCTCCTTCTTGACCTCCTTATATTGATCGGCGGAGGCGGTGGGAAGAGCGAAGTATGCACGCTGAGCTTCGCCCGTCAGCAGGGGAGCCAGCACCCGTGCCCAGTCGTCCCTATGCCATCCTTCCGGCATATTTGTAAGAAGGCTTCTACGTCATCATGAGGAGTCAGCTTGGGTAGCAGCTTCGCAGCTTGTACTCGGGGGTCTGGCAGCGGAACACGTTGAGTGGCGGCGGCATGCAGGGCCGCGAGCTCCTGCTCTGTCTCCCCTTGACGGGTGGCGAGGTGCTCAACGATTTGTTGCTGGCGGATGCTAACCTCGGTGAGCCGCTGGAGGATTTCGTCCATGTTGGGGGAGGAGCGCTCGCCTGTG